AGAGAAGGCTCCAGGGAGAGCTGAGAGCCCCTTGCAGGGCCTGAAGGGGCTCCAGGAGAGCTGGAGAGGGACTGGGGACAAGGGATGGAGGGACAGGACAAGGGGTGAATGGCTTCCCAGTGCCAGAGGGCAGGGCTAGATGGGATATTGGGAAGAAATTCTTCTCTGGGAGGGTGGGGAGGCCCTGTCCCAGGTTGTCCAGAGAAGCTGTGGCTGTCCCTGGATCCCTGAAAGTGTCCAAGGCCAGGTTGGAGCAACCTGTTCTAGTGGAAGGTGTCCCTGCCCATGGCAGGGACTGCGATTGGAACGAGATGCCCTTCCACAATCTCTCCCAACCCGAGGCGCTCCGTGGTTATCCCTGGTGTGGGGAACTGACCCTTTTTCTCCCCCCTCAGCCAACCACAGTGCCAAGCAGTGCCGCACTCCCTGTGCCCTGCGCTCTGCCTGCGGGGAGTGCACGAGCGGCAGCTCCGAGTGCATGTGGTGCAGCAACATGAAGCAGTGCGTGGACTCCAACGCCTACGTGGCCTCCTTCCCCTACGGCCAGTGCATGGAGTGGTACACCATGAGCAGCTGCCCCCGTGAGTCACCACCCCTGGGGCCTTGGGGGGGGATGTTTTGGTGGTAAAAGTCTTCAGAACACTCGTGGCTTGTGCTTAAAATTCCCTGAATCCAACCCAGGTTGGATGGGCTTGGAGCAACCTGGGCTGCTGGAGGATTCCCTGCCCGTGGAGGGGGTTGGAACTCCACGGTTTCTAAGGTGCCTCCAACCTTCCATGATTCCATTATTGTCTTTATCAAACCCAAATGAGGGTTTACAGAAGTGTTTTGTTCTGAAGTGTTGTCTCCTTACAGCCCCTCACTAGAAATTTGTAACTTCTCTTAAAGAAATCGTTCATTTTTTACCCCTCTTAGGTAGAAGTGGCCAAGATTTCTGGTGCTTTAAAATATTGTGTTTTGTTTTCAAGCTGGGCTGAAAGAGCCCCAAAAGTCTAAGACAAACAAGACATTTATGTTGAAGTCTTTAACAAAATCCAAATCAGAAGTGTTTTGTTCTGAAGTGTTGTCTCCTTGCAGCCCCACACCAGAAAGTTTTAATTTCTCTTAAAGAAAGGATTCATTTCTTTACCCATTTTAGGTAAAAGTGGCCAAGATTTCTGGTGCTTTAGAATATTGTGGGGTTTTTTTCAAACTGGGGTGAAAGACCCCCAAAAATCTATAAGCAAATGAAGATTTGGAAGTTATTTTATTTATGTTGAAATCTTTATGAAAATCCAAATTAGGGTTCACAGAAGAGTTTTGTTCTGAAGTGTTGTCTCCTTACAGCCTCTCACCAGAAATTTTTAACTTCTCTTGAAGAAATGATTCATTTTTTTACCCATTTTAGGTAAAAATGGCCAAGATTTCTGGAGACCAAGATTTCTGGTGCTTTGGAATATTGCATTTTTTTTTTCAAACTGGGCTGAAAGAGCCCCAAAAATCTACAAAAACCAAAGATTTAGAAGTTATTTATGTTGAAATCTTTATGAAAATCCAAATGAGGGTTTACTGAAGTGTTTTGTTCTGAAGTGTTGTCTCCTTACAGCCCCACACCAGAAATTTTTAACTTCTCTTA